ATGACAAACCTTTGGGATGAGGTTCATTGTCTTACTGTGGTGGTGTCCTGGAGAGATATATGTCAGCTTATCAAACTGTATACTGTATCACATCAAACTGTATACATATCAAACTGTATGTCAGCCATGCTTCAAGAACAATGCTCAAGTAAATAAATAAACCCACTCAGTAGAAGATCATGGGCCAATCCAATGCCATCTAAGCAAGACACTTAACCTCTTACGTTCCAGTCTTGTCATCTAAAAAAGGAAATCTAGTCCTCTCTGCCACAAGCGGTTACAGGTAAAAGACGGTAAGTAAATGCTGGCTCTCTCTTTGTCAGCTTCCTACTTTCAGGTTAGCAGGCTGGTTGCCCACAAACTAGTATGTAATGGTTCAGTTTCTTGAATATTAAGATTGGATGGCTGGTGATCCAGCAATCCCACTCTGGGAATTTATCCAAGGGAAATGAAATCATCATCTCAAAAAGAAATCTGCCCTTCACCCCCACCCCCCGTGTTCACTGCAGCATTGTTTACAGTTGTCAAGACATGGAAACAACATTAAGTGTCCATGGATAAAGATATATATGTTATCCAGCCATAAAAAGAAAAGGAAGGAAATTCTGCCACGTGTGATACCACTGGACAGACGCTGAGGACATTATGCTAAGTAGAATAAGTGAGACAGAGAAAGATAAACATTGTATGATCTCACTTGTGTGTGAAATTTTAAAAAGAAAGCAAACAAAACTAATTCATAGGTGTGCCTGGGTGGTTCAGTCCATTGAACGTCAGACTCTTAGTTTCAGCTCAGGTCATGATCTCAGGGTTGGGAGACTGAACCCCACATAAGGCTCCATGCCCAGCGTGGAGACTGCTTAAGATTCTCTCTTCCTCTCCCTCCGCCCCTCCACCCTTGTACCCCTCCTCCCACAAAATACAAACACAAAACCAAAAAACGAATTTGTAAATACAGAGAACAGATTAGCGGTTGCCAGAAGCAGGTGGAGGGGTGGGCAAATTGAGTGAAGGGGGTCAAAAGGTACAAACTTCCAGTTATAAGATAAGTAAGTGCTGGGGATGGAATGCACAGTATAGTGACTGTCGTCAACAATACTGTGTGTATATGTGTGTGTGTGTGTGTGTGTATTTTTTTTTTTAGATGTTATTTATTTATTTGAGAGAGAGCACAAGCAGAGGGAGCAGCAGGCAGAGCTAGAGGGAGAAGCAGACACCATGCTGACTGAGCAGGGAGCCTGATATGGGACTCAATACCAGGACGCTGGCATCATGATGTTAAGCTGAAAGCAGCCATTTAACCAACTGAGCCACGCAGATGTCCCAACAATACTATATTGTATTTGCAAGTTGCTAAAAGAGAAAGTCTTAAAAGTTCTCATCACAAAGAAAAAATATTTGTGGGCGCCTGGGTGGTTCAATGGGTTAAGCCTCTGCCTTCGGCCCAGGTCATGATCTCAGGGTCCTGGATCGAGGCCTGCATCTGACTCTCTGCTCAGCAGGGAGCCTGCTTCCCCCTCTCTCTCTGCCTGCCTCTCTGCCTCCTTGTGATCTTTCTGTCAAATAAATGAAAAAAAAAATATTTGTAACTATGTATGATGATAGACAGTAACTAAATTTATTGTGGAAATCATTTTGTCATAAACACATGTATCAAATCATTATGTCATCCACCTAATACTAATACAATGTTATAAAACTGGATGACAGGTATTTAACATTTATTTCAAGGAAAGAGTGATTGCACGACTAAATGAAACATTTTGAGATTTTTAAAATATATTTCAAGGGCTAATAGCTTCAACTCATTTCCTGGAAAGGAAAATGCTTTCCAAGACTTTGATTTAGAGGTCTTAAAAACGACAGTTAATAAAAACTCCCTTGACACCACCGAAAGTAGCTTCTACATCTACTCCTTCCTTCAAGATTGATAATTATATGGAAAGAAAGAAGTAAGCTCTTATCCTACCTTTCCAGTACGAATTGAATTGTAGGGTAGTCAAATGGCCCTAAATGATGGAGAAAAATTATTCTTTGCAGAAATTCTAGCCAGTAAATGACAGAATAAGAAAACTAGCATTTTGCAGTCCCACGTAGCAGTTGACTCAAGCAAGGATCATTAATGGAGTCCACTAGGGTCAGTGGAGAACTTTTGCTTGCACATGCCAATTACCGGCCCTCAGATTACTTCCTATCTGCACCCACCGATCATGCTTAGACACTACTAATGGGACAACTGGACATTGTGTACACCCTAACATAACGCAGTGTGAAGCACACAGAGGTGCCTGGGGAAGAGGCCTTGCCACAAAGGTTTCATTTACATCGAATCAAGCCTTGGCAGGCCGGGTGGCAGGTTAAGCCTCTGCCATTGCTTGACGTCATGATCCCAGGCTGGAGTCTGCTTCTCCCTCTCCCTCTGCCGCTCTCCCAGCTTGTGCGCTCTGTCTCAAATAAATAAAAATCTTAAAAATAAATAAATCTCATTAAGTCTTAGATCTAATTTCCACTGTAGAAGAAATACAGGGTTAAAAAAAAAAAAGAAAGAAATACAGGGTGTTGGGGGACAGGTTAACATTACAAAAGAAGCAATCAGGAAAACCACGAAGGGAGACACCCTGCAGGACAGATAACCTCCTTTCTTTAGCATTTCACTGACAGAAAACAAATAGGGAACACTGTTCTAAATTAAAAGACACGTAAAGACCAAATGCAACACAAGGGTCTTGCTTGGAACCTGGTTCAAATAAATCACCAAGAAAAGTGTATTTCCTACAAAGTTTAGGAAATATGTACTTAGTTTAAATGATTTGAAGCAATGATTGTTAATTATGCTACATGTGTACTATGAATATGTAAAAAATACTTAATCTTATATATGCATACCAAAGTATTTAGGATTAAAATATACTATGATTTTAAATCTTTGCAAAAACAATAGATAAAACTAATATGGTAAATTGTTAAAATAATTATAAACCCAGGTAATGGGTATATATGAGAGTTCACACACTTCTACTTTTTGCATGTTTGAAAGTTTTAAAATAAAATTAGTGCTACATATAGTACAAAATAATACGCTCCTAGTAACAAAAATGTCAAATGCATGCAATAAAAGGCATTTAAATGGTCTGCAAGCCACTCTAGTCTGACTCAAATTGAGAATCATTAGTAATACCTCAGTCACTGGTTCACTCACATTTGACACCTGCGGCTCCCCCACCTGTGACCTTGAGCAACTGACTTCACCTCTAGGCACCTTCATTTGTAAAATGAGTATGGGGTAGGGCCTACCTCCAACGGTTGCTGTCAGGGTAATGCAGATTAATATAACTAGAGACACAGGGGAGCGGAGAGCCTCCCTTCTGGGTGACACAGTGGAGACAGTCATTCAACAAGTATTTACTTTGTGCCTTCCAGGGGCCAGGCACGTACTGAGTGCTCCCACACTGAGCTGGTAGACAAGGTTGGTCATGCAGACCTTTCTCAAGTAACCACAGACATATATAAATACAAGCAATGACAATGGCTGCCATAAAAGGAAAAGACCGTGGGCCACCAGAGGTGTGCGACTGATCAGCAAGTTAGACAGTCTCCAAGTTCGAGCCATTGGAGTGGGCGGCACAGTGGTTAAAGCAGGGACCCTGGGTAGAATATTTGGGATTGCACCCAGCTCCTCGCGCTCCGACCAGCTGTGTGACCTCGAACAATTTACTTCACCTCTTAGTTTCCTCATCTGTCCAATGAGTGCAGGGACGCACACTCCTTATCTCATAGAGTTGTTGGGAAGATCGCAGGGTTGATGGTGTATGGTGCTTAGAACAGGGCTTGGCACACACTAAGCCCTCAATCAGTGTTATGATGTCAATGTTGTGATGTCCTTTGCTCCTTGGACTGTAATGCTGCCACACCTGTCTCGGGGTTTGGCCTGTGAAGACTTAATGAGTTACTGGTTTGAAGTTCCTTTTTCAGTAAACCCTAGCTGTACCCTAGAGTCACTTGGAGAGTTTGTGTGTGTATACACACACACATTTATATAGTTACATAGATACACAAAATATTGATCCACGGGCTCCATTCTGTAACGAACTTATTAAAGATACTAGAGATAGAGTCCGAACACCTGTATTTTTTTGAAGCTCCCCCGGTGATTCTAATGTATAACCAGGGTCAAGAACCACTGACCCAGGCATTCAAAATGTGAAAGCATTTCAAAACTGTAGACTTCTACAGTGCAAAGAATTTATTATTATTATCATTGTGGCCTCCACAGGATAGAATCCATGATTCTTATTATAGCATACAAATGCTGTTAGCCTTCAGAACCGCACAAGTTTTCGATAATTCCTCCCTCGTTTCATACCATTCACGCCCCAATTACTCCAAGAGCTGAACAAACATTTAGGAAAAAAAAAAGCGCCCGAGTAACCCAACCCGCTCCATCTAGCGACGGCCTCAAGGTGCCTTTCTCGATGGGATTAACTTGGGAACCCGCACCCTTGGGTCGAGTTATTTACCTACAGAAGCCACCCAAGCAAAACCTGTGTTTGCTGCAGCCTTCCTTGTACAAAGATACCTTTCTGCACCTGAGGGATCTTAAACACAGAAACGCTTACACGGCTATTTTTCACGAGGGTGGGATGAGGAAGAAATCAGGCTGTAAATACTCGAGCATTGTTTTTTTTTTGTTTTTTTTTAAATCAGTCGACAATTCAGGAAAACGAGTTTACTAACTTTGCAGGCCTATAGTGCAATGTTCCATGGCTTGATTGGATTGTGGTGACATCTGGGTGTATCCATTTGCCAAAACTCATCAAGTTGCATAATTACCATCAGTGCCTTTTACTGTAGGTAAAGTAGGCATCAATTAAAAAAAAAAAAAATCCCAGGGAAAACAAGTTACCAAACAGTCCTTCGCTACGGGGTGCACGTGGGAAGAAAAACCACGAGTCCCAAGTTAGCTCTCCAAAGCCCTCTCTGACCAGCTTGTTCTGACTTACACGGGAAGAAGGGCTGGCGGATCTAAGCGCGTCCTTGGACAAGGACTGTCGGCGAGGGAGGAGACGGAGACCCCCTGCACCGTGTAGACCCGCCTGGATCTTGGCGCCCGGGAGCGCGCGGGGTCCTTACCGAGCAGCAGGAAGGACAGGACCCACTGCAGCACCGCGGCGGTCTGTAGCCGCCGCGCCAGCGGGATGTTGAGCGGCGCAAACTCGACCTTCATGCTCCGGCCCCGGACAGGACTGTGCCGACTGCGGGCGCCTTGTTGATTCGCGGCGCCTGGGAGGAGTGAGCGGCCGGATTCCGGCCCCGCGCGGGACAGCCCCGGGGCGGCAAGGGGGAAGCGGCGGCGACGCCGGGGTAGCAGGCGGGGGCCGGACTTCGTCGGGGGGGGTGGGGCGGGAGGGCTGAGGCTGGGGGCTGCCAATCGCGCGCGCCCGGGCTGCGGTGCAGCTGGCGCGCCCGGGCACATTGGCCCCAACGCCAGGGCGCTGATGAGAGCGCGCCGCTTTGGGTACTAGGGATGGCGAGGGGGTCAGCTGGTGGCCTGCCCGAGCTCGGCAGCCTGGGCTTCTGCAGCCTTGCGGAGGACCTGGGATCTCCACTGGGATCTCTGATCGTTGTTCAGCTACTCGATCACCTTCAGTATCTGCCCTTAAACCCACCCCTTCCTCCGAACACTCTGGCTGGGGAAGGATTAGTTCAAGAAATCGACCACCAGTTAGAAGGAGGTGCGGGACATAGCTTCTGTGCACGCGGGGTACTCCTGTGTTTATTGGTATGTGTACCCTATCCCATCTTTTAACTCCGGCGGGAGACGAGAGGCAGAGATCTGACTTCCTCTCTTGGATACTCAGATTCCTACACTAGTTCCAGAAACCTTTCATTTATTCATTCCTTTAACAGATACTGACTGAATACCTACCACAGGTCACGAACCATTCTGGGCCCTGGCCTTATACCTGGTTACCTAGACACATTAATTCTGCTCTCAGTACAAATTAGGGGCGGAGACAAACATTAAGCAAAATAACCACATAATTGGGTGTATAATTGCAAAGTGAAACCCTACTGTGAATGGCTGTAGGAGGGTTCTAGGACTTAAACTGGAGGTCAGGGAAGTCTCAGAAGTGACCTTGAGCTATAAAAGTGAATCTAGTTAACTGAGGGAGTTGTCCAGAAAAAAAGGAGCACGTGTGCAAAGGTCCTGTGGCTGAAATTCAAAGAAAATATATTGGGAGCTCAAGGAGAACATTGGGGTGGAATGAGGCAAAAATGGTGGCCAAAGTCCAGATTCTTGCAGCCTGTGTTTAGATTCAACTATTTACCCTGAAGTTTGCCACCGAAGGGTTTGTTATGATGCATTAAATGGTTAGATTCTGAATAGTTGCCTAATCCTTGTGAGCAGTGCTACTTTTTTTTTTAAATAAATACACCTACTGTATAGTTGGACAACTCCAAGTGGCACGTGGCTGTTAAGTCATTGCTAGAAGGGATCTGCAACAGGGCAAAACAACAAAGTTGACCAGCCACCCCCACCACAATGTCCCTTTCTCCAATAATTCTAATAGAAAGTTGGATACAAATGAATAATTAAGGCAAAGTAGTTCAGGGTAGTTGTGACTTTTTGTATGCAAAACTTCCTGGTTTGTGGGTTTTGCTTTTTTTTTTAACCTAGTTGAGGATTCATATTCTTCTTTTAGACTTCTTCCCTGAGCCTTCCCCCCAGTGCTAGTGGGGATACTAGGAGTACACGCTGTCTCAGATGTTGTGCAGAGCCCTTCACTCATCCTAGAGCAACCCTAGAGCAATAAGCACTAGCTCATTTTGCAGTTAATGAAATCCAGGCTCAAAGTCACACAGCTGGCAAAGTGGAAAAGATTCAAATACAGTTTTGTCTAAAACCCAGAGAGGAGAGTCATCCTTTCATTAAATGAATCTTACCTGGAACAAACGATTGCTTGCTTTGCATCGCCATTGCCCAGGGTGTTGATGGCAAGAGAGTAAATTAAGACATGGTCTCTGAGCCTTTGAGCGTTCATTCACTGATTATTTATGAAAAGGCTTCTTGTACTAGGCACGAGCTGGGGAGCGGGTATGGACTGTAACAGTGAATAAGAAAGGTCTCTGTCCTGGAGGGGCTCACAGCCTCCTGGAAGAAACAAAGTAACCACATGGGTATAGAACCAAATATATGATAGTGCCTGAAAGAAACATGCACATTCCAGTGATAGGGAATAATGAGCATGTATTTAGAACAGATTGGAATTAACAAGAGTGGGAAGCAGGCAGACCCTAAGGAACCATTGTAGGGTTGGACTAGGAGATGGTGGTGTGGTCTGCTGTGGTATTAAAGGAGGATATTGATGGATTTGGGATATGCACAGGAGATATAAATGGTAGAATTGGTTAATCAGACTCACAATTTCTTGGTAAATAAGCAAGACATCCAGACTTTTCCTAATCATGTGGAGTTTACTGAGTTAGGCTCTTGTCACTTTCCCAGGCCCTCAGCTAGTAGTAAACATCTGTTACACTCTAGCATAGCACACTGAAGCAAAGCATGGCCCCACCAAGGCACAGTCTATCACCATCCTAAGTAACAAATCACTCACTCATTTAATATTCAACATGTATCTGTGTATATATTGTGCCCCAGGTTATTGTAGCTAAATGATTACCAGAATTAAATGGTGAGAAGCTTTTTCAAGCTATTGAAAACAACTCTTCTCAGATTTCCAGAATTAAAGCTAACATGAAAACATGAACCGTAAACATTATCTTTCCAAACTACATCTTTCATGGAATGGGGAGTTGAGAGCAGAGAAGTTAAGTGATTTGCCCAAGACAACCCAGCCAGTTCCTGGCAAGGAATAGACCTAGCTCTCTTCATAGCCTACTAAAATGGATGAGGAGAAGTAACATAGTATGGGATCATGGTTTCAAACTTTGACTCTAGTAGAGGAGTTTTTTCAATCTTCAAAAGATCTCCGAGTGATAAATCCAAGTGAACCTGTTCTTATTGGGAAAGAAGGTGAGGAACCCACTTTCTCAGCATCTCCTTCCTTCCCATAGCGACTGTATTTGTAACAAAATGAAAGTGATATTAAACAGTTTCAGAAGCTCATAGGGTTTGGCAAAACCCAGTTTGGAAGCTTATTTTGCTCTTTTTTGTGTCTGGGTATCTTAATATTTGGAGAAGTACAAGGTCTGAATGTGGTTGTAGTTAAAAAAAAAAAAACAAGTATGTCAATATTACTAAGTGCTTACCACCTAGCAAGTACTGTGCTCATGCTTTATCATTCTGTGTCTGATATAAAGCCCCCAGCAGCTCTCCAGTCTAGGTAGTATTTATTATTCTTAACCAATGGAGAAATCGAGACACAGGTGAAACGAATTGTTCACCTATTAAGTAGTAGAACTAAGTGTTTTTTTTTTTCTAAAGATTATTTATTTATTTATTTGACAGACAGAGATCACAAGTAGGCAGAGAGGCAGGTAAAGAGGGGGGGGGAGCAGGATCCCTGCTGAGCAGAGAGCCTGATGCGGGACTCGATTCCAGGATCCCGGGATCATGACCTGAGTCGAAGACAGAGGCTTTAACCCACTGAGCCACCAGGTGCCCCATCTGTGTTTTCAAAAAAAATTTGTTTCCAGAGTCCGAGCACATAACTTCTGTTTCTTGAATGATAGCACAATGAAGGAAGGGGATGTCATTGAAATGGAGAAGTCATGGAACAATGAGCTGAAGAATGCAGATGACCAAATGTGCCATAGTTTGGGTTGCGATTAGTTATTCATTCAATCAACAAATATTTACCAACCACATACTATGGCTTTGGCATTAGGTACCTGTGAGCAAATAAAACATAAATACACTTTCAAAAATTCAACCACAGTATATCAAACACCTGTGCTGTGGCAAGTCCTGATGAGATCATGAGGAGAGGAAATCTACACTGTCCAGCTTGGAGATCTGAGATTCCACCAACAGAGGATGGTTCCTCTTTCTAGGTCTCAGCTCCAGTTAAGAAATAAGAAGGTGATGGTTCAGATTGCCTCATAGGTTACAAAACCTATGCGTGGAAATGACTACTTTAAAATCACTTCCTTGTTTTAGTTTTTTTCCGGTGCATTTCATGACAGGTAATTTCTACTAACGGGAAGAGAATGTTTCGCTATAACATGACATTTTACTGTAGCCTAAGCTAATATTTTCCCGTCTTTTAGTTGAAAAGGAAATAGTATTCCTCCCAGACTGAGAGTTCTCAGAGGGGATAGTTTAGAACAAAGGTCACTGTGCCAGTTTTCATAAGGTGCGTTCATCATAAAGGCAAATATTCTATTTCTCTCTCTTACATACACACCCACACATTCATGAAACTCAAACATCCTGGTTACTATAAGTCACTGAGAGTGGCCAGATCCGGTTAAAGTCAAGAGAAGGCCATCATAATGATAGTTTCAATGGAATGTCCTTCAAGAAGTTCTTTTTTTTTTTTTTAAAGATTTTATTTATTTATTTGACAGACAGAGAACACAAGTAGGCAGAGAAGCAGGCAGAGAGAGAGAGAAGCAGGCTCTGCACTGAGCAGAGAGCCTGATGCGGGGCTCGATCCCAGGACCCCGGGATCATGACCCGAGCCGAAGGCAGAGGCCTCAACCACCGAGCCACCCAGGCGCCCCTAGAAGTTCTGTTTTCAACACTCTTTTGAACTAAGTTCGAGAAATTTGCTCTGGCCCCTCTGTTTTCTTATTGTCCTAAAAATTAACTTCTTTTATCAGTCTGACAAGGCTCAAGTATTTTTGCTCTGGGCAGAGCTGCAGGAGTCTTGCCCAAGATACCAAGGCTTTGTAGCTTCCATGATTTCTCTTCTCATGACCCTCATCCACATTTCCATTCGTACTTGGTCTGGAAACCTATTTGAGGTTCCAGCAACCCAAGTGAGGGAGGAATGAGGAGAGATTGGAAAAGTCTACTGCTACCAACCTGGGGTCTGGACCAGCTCTTCAAAGAGGCAATCAGCAGTGTCCAACAACAGTGTCCTTGGAGATAATGGCACAGACTCCACCTCTTCCAGTTTCCAAGAAGGTCCAATCCAATGGGTTCGCTTGTGCTTGTGTTTGTATCTTTCTGGTTGTTTATGGCTACTTGGTATATGACCTGTTGGTTCTTCTGGTCTATTATTAATACTTTTTGTTTTCTTTAAACACATGCCATTTTCC